TCCCAGCCGCACACACCCCGGGGAGCCTCCGGGCACCAGGCAGGAAGATGAGGAAGCAGGTGCGTTTTCAGTGCATTAGCTCTGCGCGTGCACAGTGCATTACCTCTGCGCATGCGTAGCACCGCGTCGCCCTGAGACTCCACCATGAGAGGTAGACGCGGTGGGTGAGGTGCCAGGCCCCCTGTGATGCCAGCCCCCCCCCCCCCCCCGTGACAAGCGCAAGGGCTCCTGAGGAGCCTAGGTAAGTCTCTGTCCATCCGGCTGGATGGCTCTGAGCAAGTGACTTCACCCCTCCTAGCCTGTTTCCCCTCAAAGTAGAGGGGGTGCTGGGCCTGTCCCACTGGAGAGGCGGATAAAGGGTCCTCACACTGGGCTCTGGATGTGGTCATTAGAACGGCGCCCCCACCCCAACACCGCAGCCTCACCCCAGGACTGGCGACGTGACTAGTCATGTTGAGGACAGAACAGAGGCAGCGCTGACCGTGATTCAAGAGGTTATGGGTGGGTCCGGGGGGACCACGGGTCTTCCATGGAGGGACAGAGACTGCTGGCCCCGGGGCTGAAGGGGCCACAAGCCAAGGGAAGCAGCCGACGCTGGCAACCGAGACAGCCGGCCACACGTCTCCCTTGCAGGCTTCAGAGAGAACACGGCCGGTGGACGGCTCAGTCCTAGCCCGGAGGCACTCCCGGGCTTTGAACCCGTGACATGGAGTTCCTGAGAGCCAAAACGAGCGCCATTCTTCACCTCAGAGAAGGGATGGGTCGATGGGTCCGGGGGCTGAGCAGCCCCGAGAGCGCGTCCTGGGCCTCGCTGGCACCAACAGAATTTGGCAAGATGCAGGCCAGGCTCAGACCTGCCCATGGAGGCCGGCACGGTCGAATCCGGGGGGACCCATGAGCTCTGAGCGAATGTTCTGGAACCCAGTGGCCCGGCAGGGGGAGAGGCTGGAAAGGCTGCCTGGCTGTCCCCTCGCTGAGGGAGCTCCCCGGGGAGCTGTAGCATCTCGAGAAGTCCCCACTGCAGAGAGCAAACAGGGCTCTGCCTTGAGCTCAGCGCCCACCAAGAGCGCCCTCCCCGGCCTCGTCAACTCTGTTTGGTGACAGGTGGAGAGATGGAGCCCGAGATGCACCTGGGCCTCAGGGGAGAGACGGAGGACCTGGGAGCCCCGTCCCCCCCCCGGAGTGTCACTGTCCAGTGGGTAGAGGGGACACATGGGAGCCTCGGCTGGCTGGCGGGGCGCGGTGGCGGGCGCTCCGCTCTGCTTCCCACCGTGGTCCTGATGCCACCAATGTAACCATTTCTGGAGCTCAGAGCCCCAGTCAAGGTAGACAGGCTGTGTACCCCTAGAGGCCCAGGAAGACCCCCCGCCCCGCCTTTCCAGCCGGTAGGTGGCATCCGCTGGCTGCCTGCGGTCACGGCTCCTCTGACATGAGCCCCAGGGGTTCTCAAGTTGTGCCAACGGAGGCTCTGCGAGGCGGGGGTCAGAGCGGGGAGATGGGGGGTGGGGCTCTAGAAAAATCTGGGAAAGGCAGGAAGGAGCTGCTTCCCATGAGCTCTGGGACCGGCCGGTGCCTCAGTGTGAACCTGTGTTCCAGGACCATGGCATGCTTGTGTGCACGTGCATGTGTGCATGCACACGTGTGCACGCGTGACATTTACTATGGTTGCCAGGGAGGTTTGCAGGGGTGGAGGCCCGGGGGGACAGGAGGGGCGGGGCCTTGTCATGGGCTGTGACAGGCAGGGACCCAAACCACCGCATTTGGGGAAGGGAGGGATGCGGAGAAAGGTTCCAGGACCTCTTGAGAGGCTAGAGAGGGGGAGGGGAGGGGACTTGAGGGTCTGGAGGGAGGAGGGATAGAGGGCGCTCGGGGAAGGCCTGGAACAAGGGTCTTTCTAAAGGCTGCACTGGAGGCCCGCGCATGCTCGGCTCTGGCACGCTCGGATGCGCATTGTCTTTAAGCTCAGCCTGGCTTGTGTGTGGACTCTGTGGTGGGGGGAGCCAAGGGGCTATCCTGTCATCCAAGAAGGTGAGGGCACAGGACAGCATGATGCTTCAGATTCGGGGGGGGGGCGCTGGGTGGGGAGGGCAGCCTAGGCTGGGGGAGGGGAGGGAAGTTCCTGGGAATGGGGAGTGGAGCTATGGGTACCCCCCCCTCACTGGCACACGCAGTGTGAGCATACTCTCCTCAAGCTGTGCCCGGTGGCATTCAATGGTTCCCAAGCAGCACCCCACAGGTGTCCCCGATGCTGGACGAGGCCTAGTGTTTTCAGGGGTGCTCAGTCAGCACCTCACCGAAGCAGCCTGGCCTCCTGGCTCTGAACAGGTCCTGCGTGGAAGGGACGGTGCCTGACTTCCAGGCAAAGGAGCAGGACACACGTCCAGAAAACGCCCCTGCCGCGTGAACCCCGAGCGCCAGCACCCCAGCTAGAGGAGCAAGGCAGACACACCCAGGTAGTGGTTGCTTTCCAAGGTTTATTGCCGAAGTGTCAGAATACAAGCTGTATAAAAATACTTTACATATAGCAAAAATAAACTACAGTCAACGGGAGAGTAACAACGCTTTGCATAGGAATGTGACGGATCCAGAGTCCTTAACAGTCGAGATTTCCCACAGCTCCAGCCCGCCTCCGTGCCCCACGCGGGGACTCCCTGTAGTGTGAGCCTCAGCCGGGCCGGGGCTTCCTCTCCCCTCGCAGGGCTGCAGGTGCGTGCGGGCCTCCGGCAAGGCGGGCGCCATGCTGGCCACATCTGCTCAGGCCAATCAGGATGCTGGGCATACCTGTTGTCATGGAAACCGCATGCCTGCACCCACCCCCACTCAAACCCTGAACCCACCTCGGGGGGCGGGAGGGGTGACCCAGCCTGCCGGCAGCTCCCTGTGCCCCACTGTGGCTTAGCGGGGGCCTGCTCAGGGAAGCACCCCACACCGGTTGCCAGAGACTGTTCTGGCTGTAACTGGAGCCAGCAGCGAGGCCGAGGGGGCTGGTGTTCGCAGCGCTGTTTTCTGCCAGCACTTGGCTGGACTGAAGGAAAACCCCTGGGTTCCGCTGGCTGCTCTGTGCGCACGCGCACGGATGCCCAGGTCCTGAGACGCGCCGGGCCCCACAGGGCTGGTTCCCCCAGCTTGTCAGAACCTGCGCCCCTCCATGCGATTGTCAGGGTCAGGCTTCCCATGCTAGACGACAGGAAGTGCTTGTGGTATGAAAACAGTTCCAAGTGACAGCCGAACACGTCAGCTTCCCGACTGCCCGGGACGGGGGCGCTCCGGCTCCGGCTCCGGCCGCCTGTGTGAGCGCACCAGGCCCCAGCAGAGCCTCCCGGCTCCCGGGAGAGCCCAGGAGCCTGTGCGGCCAAGCGGCGCCGCCCGCGGCTCCCGCGCCCCGCGGCTCCCGAGCCTGCGCGAAGGCTCCCACACACACCCACTCGGAATGTGTTTCCACGCTCTCATCTCAGATCAAAATCACCTACGAGGTCCTTCAGTTCCACCCGCTCTCCTCAGTGGCGGAAGCCAGGCGCAGGACTGGAAAGAGACGAAGATGGGTTCTTTTCCCACAAAGCCCCCGCCCCAGCCTTCTCGGCCGCAGAGGCCGCGCAGCCTCGGAGCTGGGGCATTTCGGGGTGGTGGTGGTGGGATTTCCTGGCATTATGAACAACAACAAAAAAAACTTCAAGAATATATCATTTCTCTGAAAGGAAAAGCATATATGTAAAAAGAGACCCTTAAAAAGATTTCTGGCCATTTATAAATATTTTCTAATTCCAACAACGGGATGCCATAGGTGGAGGGCAGATGAAACGCATAAAAATACAGATAAGAAAATAAAATTTAACAGCGTACTAGCTAATCTGGACTGCTGTGTGTATATATAAATACATCGTCAAGCAGCAGCACGCGCGCACGATGCAGGAAGACTGGAAAACCTTGTACGTTACACTATGTTCAGCAACACAGCAGTTCAGTCCATTCCAGATCTCCATTTCCACGGACAAAGCACAGGCAGCCTTATCCGAGAAACTCCTCGCGCACGCACACACACACGTGTGCCACGCCCCCATCCTCACCCGCCGGGCCCCTTGCTTCTCCTTCACCGACAGGACCCCACTGTGCGTCCCCACCCTGGAAATACTCCATAATACTCTTGGCAAAACTTCCTGCTGAGAAAATGTCCTTAGTAGCTGTCTGTGTCTGACACACTTTGGCTTGCTGGTTTCTGTGTCTTAATGAATGCCGTTTCTTTCCTGTGCTATTTGGTATTGCTGTGTATGGAAGGGTTTCTGACACTATCCAGCTGTAACAGTGTAGGAGAGAAATGGAGAGAGGCTTAGTGTGCGTTACACACACGTGTGCACGCAGACAGTCCCAGCATGGTTAGGAGGCAGACAGAACGCAGGAACCCTGTGCGCCCCGTGGACAAGGAGGCTGGGCTGCTTTTATGGTATCAGAAAGGCACTTAGGAAAACATTCAGGTCACTGAGGAAAGGCCATGTTCCCTCATGAGCAAAAGATGGCCCTGTGCCGGGGCCGGTGAGGAAAGTCCTGCGGGAGATCCTCCCCGCTCCCTCCCCAAGGCGCTGCTTTGCCGGAGAGAAAGTTGTGGGTACAGCTGCTGGCGGAGCAAGGGCTTGTGGAGGAGGAGGTACTGAGCGTGGAGAACTCTGCAGTAGTACCTAGCTTCCTGCTGACCTGCTGTGTGTCCAAAGGAGAATCTTACTCGACGGGTCCAGCCTGGGTGAGGAAGGGAATACACGCGAGGTACGACTGAAGGCCGGCTTCCCTTGGGCGGTGGGCATTTGGTGGCCGTGGCTTTCTGCTTAGGCTGCTGGCCAAGAATCCACTGCACACAGCCTTAGTGAGGCGCACAGGACAGCATCTCCACGGTGCTCTTGGTGATGAGGGACGTAAACGGCTGCAGGGCTGAAAACGCACCTCTGGTTCACCCTGTCTGCAATAAATGCACACAGGAGCGTGTCCATGTGTGAAACCATCTGCCATGCGTGCAGTGCCACGCTGCGCCAGCAGAGGGGGCTGTGGAAGCCAGGGGGAGGGGGCGGCTGAGGCTGCCTGGAGCCACGGAATCAGGCAGAGCTTAAGGCACTTGGGTGAAAGCTCTTCCAGAGAAGATCCTGGTGGGCACCCGCTCCCAGAAGCCCTTGGGTGATTGCAACGACGCCTCCTTTTGCTTGGACTTTGGCTGCGCTAGCCCTTTGGCCACTGGTCTCAACCTCCGATGCCCCTGTGTTCCTTCCTACCTGGAGGGGCCTCGGCGGGGAGAAGGAATCGCAGGAAGCTCCCCAAGCCTCATGCTGCGTGAGCTGCAGCTGCAGGCCGCAGGGTACAGGGAGGCGGCCGAGGGGGCGCCATCACCAGCCTCCCTGGCCGGCTCTTTGAAGCGGAGGGAAAATGAGAAGAGATAACCTAACTTAACGCCGAGAAGTGGGGACAGTGGCTCTTTGTCTGGAGAAGGCAAAACACCAGGAAAGGAGCGCTCACTGTGGCCAGCTGTGGTGGAAGCAGGCTGCACGGCGGGCGTGGGGGAGGGGAGGGTCCCGAGGCTGCCTGCAGGCGAGGCCCTCATCCTCCAAAGGGGACAGGCGCCATCTCTGTGGCCTGGACCAACGCACGGGGAGGGGGGCGCGGTGTCCTGTCAGAGCCCGCCGCTGTCTCCTCCGTCTCCCGTGCGGTCCTCATCCGGCGGCTCTCAGGACGGCCTTGGGCAGCAGGCACTTGCCGCCGGACACATCGTCATGCACCACCCAGGGCGCTCAGTGGAGGAGGGTCCGTGCGGTGTTGAGGGGCGTGGCCCTACGCGGGCCGACCACACCCAGGTCCAGGTGTGGCCTCCAGCAGAGGGAGGGACGCAGGAGGAGGACAGGGAGGGGCCGGAGTCCAAGGCGTCTCGTCTTGTGTGATGGCTGCTCTACGTCTGATTTCTGGCGGGAGGTCCTGAAAACTCTTTCCTGATAATTTCATTAACTAAAAATGAAAAGAGAGAGAGATTAAGGGGGGTAATTGGACAGCAAAACCACATCCCAGGTGAGCGTTCTAGAACCTTGATCAGGCTTTCACATCTGAGAATTTGTAACACCAGAACTATCTTTTTTTTGGGGGGGGGCTCGGGGGTCGGTTGTGGGGCCTGAACTCTGGGCCTGGGCGCTGTCCCTCAGCTCTTCAGCTCAAGGCTAGCGCTCTACCACTTGAGCCACAGCGCCACTTCTGGCTTTTTCTGTGTCTGTGGTGCTGAGGCATGGAACCCAGGGCCTCAGGCATGCAGGGCAAGCGCTCTACCACTGAGCCACCTTCCCAGCCCCATATGCCAGAACTATTTTAAGTTCCTTTTTTTCTAGACCCAGAGGCAGCACTGCAGTCTGCTCCTGAGAATCGCCCCACTGCTTTTTCTGCTCTTTGTGGCCCAGCTGGGTGGGTCTGGGGTAGCTCTCTGCTCTGTCTTTTTGGTTTTGTGTCTACCAGACTTTCAGAAGCGATTAGTACTCCAGAACGTACTCGACACCCACTGGTGCCGCAACACTACAGGGAGCCTGAAGAGCCAGCGGGAGCGCAGTGGGAACCAGCCACTCACGTGACCAACCATTCCCCTCCCTCCCTTCTTGGTTTTCTTTTTGGCAGCACTAGGGTTTGAACTCAGGGCTCGGCCCTTGCTCTACGAGCTGACCCACACTTTCAGCCTAGCCAGGGAGATGCGAAGTGGCCGGTGCCATGGGCGGGGCCCACCTCCCTCAGCTGGCAAGGCACCTGGGCAGGAGCCGCACAGCCCCGCCAGCCTGGCTTGGCCTCTGGTACCCGCTGGCTCTGGTTATTCACGGGCTGTTACGGGCGGGCAGGGAGGTCCTGGGCTGCGCTCCTGTGCGTGGTGCGCAGACTCCGGGCTGCCTGGATGCCCTCAGCTCCAGCCGGCCAGTCTCGGCGGGGTCTGAATGCCTAGTCCTGTGCTGGGGTGGCGCAAGACCCCCCGGCGTCCCCCCACACCAGGTCCCCCGCCCTTTCCTGGTTCTGCCGCTGACCTGCTCCCACATCTTGAAGTCCTGGTGGTGGGAAGCCAGCCGTGAGCGGACGCCGCTGCCCAGCCCCACCCCTGCTCACGCCGGACGCTCCCGGGTCTGGACACCCGTGACAGGTAGCCTTCAAGAGCAAGCTATGAAATCTAACGCTCAGCCCCTCACCGGCGGCTGTGTGCCCGACCTCCCCACACCTCCACTTCCTTCTAGGCCCCTGGGGAGGCTGCTGGGTGGGAAGGAAGCTCACGGGACGTGGCCAGGGACTCGTGCACGGTGCGCACAATTGTACGGCTTCAGCGGTGAGTGACTAACAGGCCCCAGCACCCCCGGGGCTTGGCACACCAGGCGCATGCCGAATGCATGCTGGGGGAGGGGGAGGGGAAGGGCGAGGGAGGGTCCCTTGCTGTGGACCCTTAGTGTCGTGGCTGTTCCCTGCCTCCGTTTCCCCATTGTACATGGCTGCCCTCCTCGGGGCTGGGGTGGAGCTCGCACGGGATTACGCTAGTGGAGAACTGGGGCTGCTTGGGTTTTAGGAGTGGGTTGATAGGGGGCTGGACGTCAGCACAGGCACAGAACCAACACCACAAGACCCTATGGGGGTAGATGGGGCTCTCTGCAGGGAATCCGGGGTATGAACCCCACTATTCAACTCACCAGCACACTGGGCACCAACCAGCAGGCTACCTGGAGCCCTGGCGGGAAGCTGAACGGAGAAATTGGCCCGGCCCGCCCCGCCCCCACCCTGCCCGGGCAGGGGGAGGGGGAGAGGGCCTGGCCAAGCTTTTCAGAGCCGGGATTCGGAAGGCCTTCCCGCTCCTCACCCTCAGGCTGCGCTGCCCAGCCCTGGCTGCCTAAAAATAACCCGTGGCAGGGCTGTGGGCACCGAGGCGGACCTCGCCCGCTCCGTTCACCCGTGGCAGGGCTGTGGGCACCGAGGCGGACCTCGCCCGCTCCGTTCACCCGTGGCAGGGCTGTGGGCACCGAGGGGGACCTCGCCCGCTCCGTTCCCTTCCCGGAGGCCGGGAGAAGCCGGGCCACCTGGAACCTTCCGGGAATGTCTCACCATCATGACGCCCTGAGGTTCAGACCCCACGCAGGGAACGGGGAGGGGGATGGCCCCGGGCTCCACAGCTCACGATGCCCCAGGGTGCTGACCCGGTCACCTCCCCCCCCCCCCCGCTTCTCCCGTGTCCTGCAGTGCAGGGGCTGCTCTGCACCTCCCCCCAGAGCCCCTTTGGGACCTGTGAACCCCCCTTCCCAGGCTAATGTCCTGTAGACACCCCTCTGCCCCTCACAGGGGAAATATTCAGAGAGCCCTGGCCTTGCTTAGACTGCTGTGGAGCCGGTGCAGCCATCAAGTGTGACTCAGACGTGCAATGTGGGCCTCGAACCCAGTGAGAGCTTGGAGCCAGCGGCCGTCCTCCAGCAGCGACTGGACCCCCACAGCAGGGACCCTCATGTCCCCTGTCTAAGGGTCCTTCCTGCCACCCCTCCAGCACCACCTAATCCTGCCCTCACCGCCCCCAGAAGCCCGCACAGGGCCCTCAGGTGCACTGGCGCGTGGGGCTCCGCACCGTGCACACCGCAGGGGCCTCAGGTGCACCGGCGTGTGGCGCTCCGCACCGTGCACACCGCAGGGCCTGCCACAGGGCCTTGCACCGTCAGCAGGGCTTCCTGCTGCTCGAGTGACAGCGGGATGGTCCTGGTGCCATTCCTGCTGCAGGTCTAAGGCTATCTCATTTCCACCTGACAATCTAGTTACCAGGCTCCTGTGACCGCCGCGAAGCAGAGGCACACTACTCTTGTCACTAGCAAAGGAGAATGGGGATTTGAACCCAGCGCCCACTGAGTTGAGCCTCATGTTCTGTGACTGACCACCTTGCTTCTGGGGCCCCGTACCCTCACCACCTCTTGCTCGTGGCCGGGAGAAGGCCACGCAGCCTCTGCAATGACAGCAGGGGCCGGTCGAGGGAGTGGGCCTTCTTTCCCAAGCCTCACCTGTTTTCTGTGGCTGCCCGCCAGAGCCCAGGGCCAGCAGAAGAGTCTTCCAGCGGGGGCAGGAATGGGGGCCGGGGCTGCATTCTAGGCCAAACCACAGTATCGGAGTGCCTAGAGTGGCTTAGGAACCCCCGTCCCACCAAACCCACTCCCAGGGCCCCCAGAGTTGGGCCTGGACAAGGTGATGTCTGACGATGCCCTTCCGTCTCTTTCTGTTCTGACTGCTGGAGGGGGCTCTCCTGTGGAGGCCCGGCAAGGCCCGGCCTCAGCCCCTCCCCTGACAGGGAGGCCACTTCCTGTGACGTCTGCTCACATCTCCCAAAACATTATCTGAGCTCCCAGGCTCTGCTTTTACTTGGTAAGAAACTTCTGTTTTCTGGGCACTTGGGACCACAGGGAAAGAACTTTCCAGAAGAGCCAGCTGGACCTGACCTCACAGATTCTGCAGAAAAAGTCAGCTGTCCTGTGGCAGGCCCGGGCTGTAGACCTGACAGGCTGGGTCAGCACAGCGCTGGCTGCGCTCCCCTCCCACCCCCAGGGCTTCCACCCAGCCCAGGTGTTTCATGGGCATCGACGACTCCTGCCGTGCGGCCTCTGGACCCTCGGGCAGGGCAGGCGAGTACCAGGCCAAGGCCCGCTGTGTGACTGTTAGCTTTGGGGGACTGAGCCCCAGAATGGGTCCGCCGCACATGGGGAGTGTGGCTGCGTCCTGGGGGGTGGGGGCGGGGCATGCTTCCGCGCTGCCTGCACTGCGCTGCTGGGCCCGGGCACTGAACGCCACATTATTACCGGGCCTTTCCGTGTCCATCGGCCAAGGGCCTCGGGGCCTGGCCTCGCTGACTGAGGGACGCAGCAAGGCAGCCGTCCCAGACCCTACACCAACGCTGGCTGGCCTGGACTCCCTCTGTGCTGGACACTGGGAGGCTAGGATGCTCTGATTAGGATGTGGAGAACGTTCTAGAACAGCATCAGCGTCTAAGAAGCTAAGGCCCAGGAAGGTCCCACCTGGACCTTCTCCCACGAGAGCACAAGATGCTCCCGTGGCCGGTCAGCGCCAGCCCCTGGCGTCTGCACCGTCCCGTGGCCGGTCAGCGCCAGCCCCTGGCGTCTGCACCGTCCCGTGGCCGGTCAGCGCCAGCCCCTGGCATCTGCACCGTCCCGTGGCCGGTCAGCGCCAGCCCCTGGCGTCTGCACCGTCCCGTGGCCGGTCAGCGCCAGCCCCTGACGTCTGCACCGTCCCGTGGCCGGTCAGCGCCAGCCCCTGACTTCTGCACCGTCCCGTGTCCCATGCCAATCAACACAGCGAAGCATTGTGGGAAAACCAGTCTCAACGCAAATCCAGAAAGCAAGGAGACAATCAACACTATCAGAAGTACAATGCAAGAGACCCCAAGTCCAGGGGGCACCCCCCCCAACTCAAGACAGCTGCCATGGGGCCAGCTACCCAGAGCACCATCCAAAACCAAAACCACGAAGGCTGGGGGAGGCCTTGCCTGCATTCGCTCCTGCAGGCCAGAGCTGGAGTGGAGTGATGGGGCCCCCAGTTTAGCATGCAAATCCCCAGGCCTCACCCACCCCCAAACCTGGGGCTCAGCCCCACAGACGGCCCCAGAAATGGCCCCAGAAATGCCCGGCAGGGAGGCAGGGGTTGGGGGCGGGGGAGCCAGGCCCTGGGAGGGGCCCGGGTCTGTGAGGCTGGCCTGCAGGCTGGACGGAATCCTGTAAGCCGAGGGCAAGCAAACTCACAGCCAGCAGACAAAGGAGAAGCAGAAGATATCGATTACCTTTCACTTTGATTGCATGGATCAAAGATCACAGTCTTTCTGTTTCATAATATGTTTTGTATCCAGCTAAGGTGTGTGTCTATCAGCTCTGAAAAAGACGTGCAAAACCAGTTTTGAGAAGAAGAAAATCACCGTTGAGCTGTTCTGCTGTTCTCCCAACTCCTGGGGCAGCGCCACC